ACGGGTAGTGGCAGCAGTAGCAGTCTTAGTAGCTGAAGCAGTTAAAATAATACAGAGAAGAGATCTTACTGTGTGGGCATCTCATGATGTGAATGACCTACTCACTGCCAAAGGAGACTTGTGGCTGTCAGACAACTGTTTACTTAAATATCAGGTTCTATTACTTGAAGGACCAGTGCTGTGACTGCGCACTTGTGCAACTCTTAACCCAGCCACATTTCTTCCAGACAATGAAGAAAAGATAGAACACAACTGTCCACAAGTAATTGCTCAAACCTACACTGCTCAAGGGGACTTTTTAGAGGTTCCCTTGACTGATCCCGACCTAAACTTGTATACTGATGGAAGTTCCTTTGTAGAAACAGGACTTTGAAAAAAGGGGTATGCAGTGGTCAGTGATAATGGAATACTTGAAAGTAATCCCCTCACTCCAGGAACTAGTGCTCAGCTGGCAGAACTAATAGCCCTCACTTGGGCACTAGAATTAGAAGAAGGAAAAAGGGTAAATATATATACAGACTCTAAGTATGCTTACCTAGTCCTCCATGCCCATGCAGCAATATGAAGAGAAAGGGAATTCCTAACTTCCAAGGGAACACCTATCAAACATCGGGAAGCCATTAGGAGATTATTATTGGCGGTACAGAAACCTAAAGAGGTGGCAGTCTTACACTGCTGGGGTCATCAGAAAGGAAAGGAAAGGAAAGGGAAATAGAAGGGAACTGCCAAGCAGATATTGAAGCCAAAAGAGCCACAAGACGGGACCCTCCATCAGAAATGCTTATAGAAGGATCCCTTGTGTGGGGTAACTCCCTCCAGGAAACCAAGCCCCAGTACTCAGCAGGAGAGATAGAATGGGGAACCTAACGAGGACATAGTTTCCTCCCCTCAGGATGGCTAGCCACCAAAGAAGTAAAAATACTTTTGCCTGCAGCTAACAATGGAAATTACTTAAAACCCTTCACCAAACCTTTCACTTAGGCATTGATAGTTCCCATCAGATGGCCAAATTATTATTTACTGGACCAGGACTTTTCATAATTATCAAGCAGATAGTCAGGGCCTGTGAAGTGTGCCAAAGAAATAATCCCTTGAACTGCAGGCCATACATTTAAATTCCTGTATCTTTAACCTCCTTGTTAAGTTTGTCTCTTCCAGAATCAAAGCTGTAAAACTACAAATTGTTCTTCAAATGGAGCCCCAGATGCAGTCCATGACTAAGATATACTATGGACCCCTGGTCCAGCCTGCTAGCCCATGCTCTAATGTTAATGACATTGAAGGCACACCTCCTGAGGAAATCTCAACTGCATAACCCCTACTATGTTGCAGTTCAGCAGGAAGCAGTTAGAGCGGTCATCGGCCAACCTCCTCAACAGCACTTGGATTTTCCTGTTGAGAGAGGAGACTGAGAGACAGGACTAGCTGGATTTCCTAGGCCAACTAAGAATCCGTAAGTCTAGCTAGGAAGGTGACCACATCCACCTTTAAACATGGGGCTTGCAACTTAGTTCACACCGATCAATCAGGTAGTAAAGAGAGCTCACTAAAACGCTAATTAGGCAAAAACAGGAGGTAAAGAAATAGCCAATCATCTATAGCCTGAGAACACAATGGGAGGGACAATGATCAGGACATAAACCCAGACATTCGAGCCAGCAATAGCTACCCTCTTTGGGTCCCCTCGCTTTGTGTGGGAGCTCTGTTTCTACTCTATTAAATCTTGCAACTGCAAAAAAAAAAAAAAATATATATATATATATATATAAATTGGAAAAATAATTATAAAATGTATAATGGAGAAGCATGGAAATAAGTGGGACTGAGGAATAACATAAATGGACTACTATCATATTATTTATCATTTTATTAATATTAATATGATTATATTATTTCTTGGTTACTTCTTTTTGCTTCCTTTCTCTAAAAAAAAGCTTAAAAAGATGGCAAGATATCACTGTAGATTCTAGGTTGTCAGTCTGTACCTGTTTGTTAAATGTTTTCTGTATGACAAAGATAATTTATCATAAAAAGAAAAGCAACATGACTATGAAATTATTTCTTATTTTTATTTTTATTTGCTACCATGAGAAATGTGAACTCTGATACATTGTGAACAGTTCAAATCTGCAAAGTTATCATCCATAAGCTGTTTGAGTATGATTTATGATAATTAATTGAAAACATTATCTTAATTTTTTCCCAAATGAACATTTTGTATTATGACTAGCTTATTCTAAAACAAAAATAAATAATAAGCAATAGCCGTTATAAAATACCCATATAGATAACGTTAGAAGAGCAAACATGATATGAACAGGGAACTCTTAAAAGATCAATGTGAAAATTTGAAACCAAATAAAAATTAACACAGTTTTCTGATAAAAATTATTGCCTCTAATAACCACACAGGTCATATGATAGTTACTGTTCATTGCTTATGATAATTGACCAAATTTCAGTAGCTATGTTATCAGCTTTCCAATTCTTTGATGTTAATAACTTCCCTCATTGGCCTCAGGGACTTTGAAGCTTTGTCCCTTTTTCCTGTTTTATAGGTGCTCAGTACCTCATTTTATCGCTTTTCCAATTCTTCTGACAGGCATAGGATAAGATGAAAGGACTAAAGTGGCATTCTGGACATCTGGTTAATATATCTCAAAGGGGTGCACTTTAGTGATAAATCTCCAGTGAGATACAGTTCAAGGCTATTTTTTGACATGGGCCCTGCTGAGCCATCTTCCAGGAAACCTCTACATTTTACCATCCTTGAAACAAATATTGGACCCCTGCAAAGAGATCATTTTTCACTTGCATAGTTCAAAGAATGACTACTAAGTCTCATCTGAAAATATTTGATTCAGAAGATATAAGGATAAAAGTACAAATTGGACATCTTATCTTTTGGCAAAGGAAGCTCCTTAAAACTCAGCCTTGGTTACATCGAGAGTAAGAATTCCTGTGTCATCCCCAAGAAGCAGATTTTTATATAATTCAAAACCATATAATATTTAAACAAACTTCTCCATGCCTGGTTAATAAGCATTGTTATGAAGAACAATGACAAATAAAACAAAAACAACTCAACTTTAGTGAGTTTAGTGAATGTCATTGCAAACAAATTTCACATTGCAGTTATGGATTTTATAACCTTAAGGCTTATTATAAATGTCACATTATTTCAATTAAGAATAAAAGTGAGTTTTAATAATAAACTGTCAACATTCAAATCTTCTCTCTTAGCTATCTTGAAATATACAACATATTGTTGTTAACTATAGTCACCCTATGTGCTATCAAAAGCTAGAGCATATTCCTTCTATCTAGCTGTATGTTTGTATGATGAACCAAACTTTCTTCATCTCCCCTCCCCCTTCTCAGCCTCTGGTAACTATTCTACCCTCTGGTTAGCTTCTACCCCCTACTTCCATGTGTCTACATATTGTTGTATAAATTTTGTGGAAAAAAATCCTTAACAAAATAATCTGCTGGCTATATTTCTTCTCACATTATTTGAGGAATTGCATTGAATTTGGGGTACTGAATATTGAGGACATGAATTAAGGATGAGCTACATTTCATGACTATAAACATCTGCATGCAAGCTGGCATACTACAACAATAGCGTGAGAGTCAGGGTCTGTAGAGATTCCTAGCCTAACTTTTTCCTGGACTGCCCAAACTGAACCTGAACCAGTGTATGAGCAATGTAGTATGCTTGTCAGAGGCATCAAACTGCCAACTCAAAAATAAACCTGATTAAAAGAATTTCTCTCAATATACCCATATGAAGCTGACCATTTTCCCAGTAAGAATGTAATTAAAAGGGCTTTTAACATATAGCCAATGGCAGTCCAGCAAGGAAGCTCATGAGCAACTTACAAGTAGTGAGCATTTTGATGTCATAGAGACTTACATGCAATTCAGGATTATGTTTACAACATCATAAAACAAAAATTTAGAGATAGGGTCTCACTCTGTTGCCTAAGCTGGAGTGCAGTGGGATGATCATAACTTACTGCAGCCTTGAACTCTTGGGTTCAACTGAACGTACTCCTACCTCAGCCTGCTGAGTAGCTAGGACCACAAGCACACACCACCACAACCCACAACTGGCTTACATTAAAATATAAATTGTAGAGATAGGGTCTTACTGTGTTGCTCAGGCTGGTCTTGAACTCCTTACCTCAGGTGATCCTCCCACCTCAGCCTCTCAGTGTGCTGGGATTATAGATATGAGCCACTGCACATGGCCAACTGACCTATGATTTTTACACCATGGCTGCTCTTCCCTTCTTTAACCATTATTCATTCTTCTTTGATCCTCATTATTTGACTGTAGTCCTTCTTATGTCTTGTGTTCCTTCATCACCTCTTATTCTATCACATTGTCATTGTCATTCTCCTCTGGGGAAGCTCTTTCTTGCTGAAGACTGGAAAGACAAGTCCACTCACCTGATTTTCTGTAAGATTTGGCTCATCTATTGAGTTGTCAGATAATTCTAAAGTTTCATCAAAATTAGCTACCATACTTGCATAATGGCCCTGAACCCTCACTCCTACTCTTAGCTTCAGTTCCATCTATGCCCTCAACTGTCTATCATACTTATAATTCCTCTACTTAACATCTCACATTTATTTAATCTTACGAGGCGAGGTAATAAGAAATACATAGGTTTGCCTCCAGAAGTGGGTTCTTAAGAAATCCACCAGAGGAACTCCTCTTTCAGATGTCCACATTAGAAGATTTCATATCACATTTGGTGCCACAGGTCTTTGACAAGGAGGATGCAGAGGAAAAAGCAAACTTAACCTCTTCCTAGGGACAGTGTTGGCCTGCCAACAGGAAAGAGGCAACATCTGGGAAAATCCCCAGTCTTTGCCAGGAAGAGTCTCCTCCCCATGCCAACCTCACCCCATGACCCCTGTCCTAACTTCTCATTGTCACTCTTCACTCCAATGCCCCTCCCCCAGATACTCTTATAAGATCTCACTCTTTCCTGACCAGACAAACCATACCATATCCCACCAGAGAGGTAAGTGGGAGCTGAGAGAAGATGAGACCTGGGGAGGGGCTACTGCACATGATACAGGAGAATGCATGGGAGGGTCCCTTCCTCAGGCAGCATAGGAGCTCTGAGACTCAGCAAGGGTGTCCTGGGAGGACTCGGGGATGGGAGAGTACACAGATTCAAACTCATTCAGAACTGTAGAAGATGATGGATGTGACCAAGATCACTTTAGTCCTAGGGGACTAGACAAGGAAAAAGACATGAGGCGGTAGGGTATCTTTGTGTTCTCCCACTGACCATGCTTTCTTTAGTGATTCCTGATTGCCTCCTCAAGTCAGACTCCTATGCTGCCTCCCATGGCCCTGCCCAGCGTATCTTGGATGCTGCTTTCCTGCCTCATGCTCCTATCTCAGGTTCAAGGTGAGATTGCTCTGCCTCTAGCACTGGGTTCCCTATGAATCCTCAGAGCCAAGAAGAGGAGGAAGGCTCCTGTGTGTCACATGGGTAATGACGTAGTGTCTAATGAACCTGCCTGCAGTTCCTGCATCATCACTCCTTCCTTCAGGTTAACTTGCAGTGGGAGGCTCCACGGTGGTCCACTAACAGTGGAATGAGATGGCTTCCATTTAGTCAGTGGACTCTAATATACACTGGTGAGAAAGTGTGGAGGGTCAGTAATGAGATGCGGGGAGGGACAATGACTGGAGGACCCAGTGTAGAGACAGCCCAGAGTAAGGAGAGTGTTGAATGGTTGAATAAGGGGAAAGGGTAATAAGAGACTAGATGGTGCCCCATTTATTATTTTGAGATAAAGAACTTCTGAAAACACAAGGGAAGGTGAAGGAGTATCAGGAATATGGTCTTCCTCCCCAAGGACAGGTCTAGATATTCCCCAAGGTCATCTTCCACCTCAACCCCCACTCTTCATTTTACCCTCTCCCTCTTCTTCCACCTCAGGTGTGGAACTCCAGAAGGAACTGCCCTCTGCGCGGATCCGCTGTCCCAAAGGCTCCAAGGCCTATGGCTCCCACTGCTATGCCTTGTTTTTGTCACCAAAATCCTGGATGGATGCAGATGTGAGTGGTTAGATGTGGGGTAGGAGGTGACAGGGGAAAATCCACGCAGGTCTCAGGGGGAGGAGGGTCTCCATTCAGAAGAGTTCATTGGGAATGAGAATGAACACGCTTATCTTTCACATAGTCCTCCTCCCACCTCCCTTTGTCCTGCTCTCCCCCAACGGGTCTCAGGCTCCCTCTCATTCTCTTTGTCTCCCTCAAAGCTGGCCTGCCAGAAACGGCCCTCTGGAAACCTGGTGTCTGTGCTCAGTAGGGCTGAGGGATCCTTCGTGTCCTCCCTGGTGAAGAGCATTAGTAATAGCTACTCATACGTCTGGATTGGGCTCCATGACCCCACACAGGTGCGTGTATATCCTTCCCTCTCAAGGTGCTATTGTTGCCCAGGCCCACTCCTTGTCCCCTGTGCTGCCCAGGAATACTTCAGGGAGCACTGGGGCTCAGATTCTGGGGAATATTTGGGGGAAAGTGAAGGCCATGAAGCATCTGAAGATCGGAGTTCTGTGGAGGTCTCCATCTTTCAGATAAAATCAATCTGCCTTCCTCAGGCTTATTACATAATTCTCATATGAGGCTGCGTTAATAACTCTCTGAGCTTCATGGAGTCTTTGCCTACTGTTCTGAAAGAATCCTTAATGAAGATAGGATCAATTTTTGCCCCCATACAGAACTGACATTACCCTTGAGCTTCACAAGCTAACCACAAATGCTACACCAGTTATTGTTCTGCAAGTAACACATTACTTTGTGTGGTTCCAAGGATCTTGTGTTTATTGGCTGGGATTTTCCAATAGCAATGAGGAGTCAAGGAAGAGGTTCCTAGTGAAGGGCTCACCAGCAGCATCTGGAGTAGCAGACCAAATTCCCTCATGCTGGGGAGCAAATCAGGTGTTTCAGTTAAGGGGCCATGCAAGAAGGGCTGCAATGGACATTCTCATCACCTGGTTACTCCTCTACTCTACAGGGCACCGAGCCCAATGGAGATGGATGGGAGTGGAGTAGCAGTGATGTGATGAATTACTTTGCATGGGAGAGAAATCCCTCCACTACCTCAAACCCCGGCCACTGTGCGGGCCTGTCGAGAAGCACAGGTAAGAAACAGAGGAGCTGCCTCTTCCCAGTGTTTTCCATCTCATCCCCCATTCCTGGGTCTGACCTTCAGGAAATCTTCCTGAGCTAGAAAATACAATGTCAGTGTGTCTTCTGTCATCTCCTCTCTTCTCTGCTTTCTTTGAATCTCTCTCTTGGATTGGGACACTGGTGAAGGTGAGAGAGAAGCTTTAACTTCTAGGCTAAAACCTGGGATGCCTCTTCATTGGATTCACAAACTTCCTCAGCCCCATTCCATTTATGTCTTCTGTCTCTCCAGCATTTCTGAGGTGGAAAGATTATAACTGTGATGTGAGGTTACCCTATGTCTGCAAGTTCACTGACTAGGGCAGGAGGGAAGTCAGCAGCCTGTGTTTGGTGTGCAACTCATCATGGGCATAAGACCAGTGTGAAGACTCACCCTGGAAGAGAATATTCACTTAATTCCCTCAAACCTGACCACCTCACTCTTATCTTCCTTCTGTTTCTTCCTCCCCACTCTCATTTCAGTCTCTTCATTTTGTCATATGGCCTAAGGCTTTAAAGAGCAATAATAAAATTTTTAGTCTGCACTTGTTTGTCTTGTATGTGCCAGTGTCATAGCCATACCCTGAGAAGGACAAAGTGGTTGAGGGGAGGAAACTTTGTAGGTCCTCCTTCTTCCCTATTCACCCAGGTCTCTAGGGAAAATGAGGAAATGTGCATCCCTACTAGTGTGTTGTGATGAGGGCGTGGCTCCTGCTCATGTAGGATTTGTGTTGTGAAGACATGAGGACATTTCTCTCCCACGTACTTCCAGCCCTCCCATTCCCATAGCCCAAACCTGACAATGTGACATGAACAGATTTAGGAGGCTCTGATGGTGCTTAGAATAGTACTTCTCAGAGAATGGCATAAGCAGGATGGTAGATAAGACTTTCCAACTCTTGATCAAACCTTCACAGAAACATTCATTTGAACTACTATCCATGAAAATGGAAATACCTTCACAAGAGCCAATAAGTCCAAGGGAGTGATTAAAGCATCTGCATGTTGCAAAAAATAAGAAAAGATGCATTAAAGAGGGTAGAAAGAACACTCTTACATTATTTACATCACCTCTCCCTCAATCTCAGTAACCACAGCTTGGAGAGACATTCCCTCAACTTGGGGAAAGAGAGTGAAGTAAGCACTTGAATTTTCCATGGACCCTAACACTAGGTTTGCCCCAGTAAGACCCAGTGGCCTCTGACTCCAGGCAGGTACCCTTGGACTTAGACTCCAGGTTGCCTTGATGCCAGGCCAGCCTCTGTGGCCCCAGGTTCCAGGTCAGCCCCTATACTGCAGCGGTCTTGCCCAGAAGACACGGGCTCCAGACACACACAGCATCATGCTTTTCCCCATAGCTCCAGATCACAGGTCAGCACCCATTGTCAAAGACTCTATGCCCACCTCAAGGACAAGCTAGTACTTGCAGCTACAGACTCCAGGGTGGCCCCTGAAATCCTAGACATCAGACCTACCCGTGTGAACCTGCCCTTCAGACCCACCACAGCTCCAGGATAGCTCCCACAGCTACAACTCCAGGCCAGTACTTGCAGACCCCAGCTCCAAACTGGCACTCACAGTCGCAGGATACAGTTCTGTCAAACCCCAAACCCTCCCCAAGCCTTTAGGTCCATCTGAGCACAAAACTCTGATGCTAGGCCAGCCTCTGTGGCCTCTGTCACTAGGCCAGCCCCAACAGACACAAGCTCTAGATCATCCCAGTTCCAGGCCAGCCTCTGTGGGCTCAATACTAGTCTGGTCTCATACTCCAGCACACCCAGAATCAAGCCTCATTATAGTAGACCTTAGCACCGGGCCAGCCCCCACTGACTCAGGCTCCAGCCTTAGCCCCATGAATCCAGTCTCCAGATCTACCCTAGAGGTAAGTTGACATTCATGGTCCCAGGACATAGGCCAGCCCCCACTAACCCTGGCTCCATGCCAGCCCCTGTAGTTCCAGGTACCAGCCCAGCATGCACAGACTCAAACTCTAGACCTGTCCTAGAGACTCAGGTACCACATCTATCCTAGTGCCTGGCTAACCCATGAAGACATGGGTTCAAGGCCTTCTTTAGAACCAGAATCTGCCCAGAACCTGCCCAGAATCTCTGGATGACTGACTGGTGAAGGACTTTATCTGCTAAAGCCAGTCAGTAAAGACTGGAATAAGTGACTACTTGTTCAAAAAGTCAAACACCAAAAACACGTGACCACAGTATCATAAACAATCAAGGATATATGATATCACCAACAGAACAAAATAAAGGATTCGTAACTGACCTTAAGGAGAGAGAATTTTACAAACTGCTCAACAAATAATTTAAAGTAATTGTCTAAAAGAAACTCAGTGAGCTACAAGAGAATACAGATAGACAACTAAATGAAATCAGAAAAACAATATATGAAGAAAATTAGGTCAAGAAAGAGATTTTTTTTTAAGTTAAAAAAAAAAAAACATAGTGACTGAACTGAAGAACTGTATGGTGAATTTCAACAGCAGACTTGATCAAGCAGGAGAAAAAGTCAGTGAGTTTGAGACAAGTCATTTGAAATTATCCAGTCAGAGAAACAAAAAGAAAAAAGAAACAAAAAGAGTAAATAAAGCTTAAGAAAACTATGGTACATGATCAACTGAGCCAATATATACATTGTGAGTTTTCTAGAAGGAGCAGAGGCAGGAAATAGGCAGAAAACATATACAAAAAATAATGGGCCTGTCATATACAAAAAATAATAGGTCCCCATGCCTGTCAGTGTCTCACCCCAGCCAACGAGCATGCGCCTAGCCATGCTGCCACTGCTGTGGCATGTGCAAATGAGCACAGATCCCACTGCTACCACCCTGACAGAATATTGTGACCACTGCCACTTACTGGAGTGTTGTGGCCACCAATCTGGGAACACCTTTGTCCCCCCAGCACAGCAGGTTCCTAACCTCAAGGCGCAAAAGAACAAAGCCAGGGGCCTGATATTAGCATTCCAGAATTGGGGAATGCTGAGCTGAACCTTGGCCCCCTGACATCTTCCAGAAATGAAGTTAGTCAACTGAGCCTACCTTATACCATAATCAAACCCCCAAGGACATCAAAAAAGATAAACACACAAATACACACACACACATATACACACACACAAAATCCATCCAAAGAACAGCAACTTCAAAGATTAAAGGAACATCAGCCCACACAGATGAGAAAGAACCAATGCAAGAACTCTGGCAACTCAAAAAGCCAGCATCTATTTTTACCTCCAAACAACTACACTAGTTACCCAGCAATGGTTCCTAACCAGGCTGAAATATCTGAAATGACAGAAATAGATCTCGGAATATGGATAGGAACCAAGATTATTGGGATTCAGGCAAAAGTCAAAATCCATCTCAACGATTCTGTACAATAAAACAATACAGAAAATGAAAGATGCATTGGCCATTTTAAGAAAGAACCAAACCGATATGATAGAGCTGAAAAACTCATTTTAAAAATTTCAGAATACAATCACAAGTATTAACAGCAGAATTGACCAAGCTGAGGAAAGAATCTCAGATCTCAAAGATGGTTCTCTGAAATAACTTAGACACATATTACAAATTTTAAAAAGACTGAAGAAAATTAAACAAAACCTCTGAAAAATATGGTATGTAAAGAGACCAAATTTATGACTCATTGAAAGCAAGCAATTTGGAAAACATATTTCAAAATATCATCCATGAAAACTTCCCCAACCTCCTTAGAGAGGACAACCTTTAAATTCAGGAAATGCAGAGAACCCCTGTGAGACTACACAAGATAACCATGCCGAAGCCACATGGTCATCAGACTCTCCAAGGCTGAAATAAAAGAAAAAATGTTAAAGGCAGCTAGAAAGAAGGGGCAGATCACTTACAAAGGGAACCTCATCAAGCTAACAGCAGTGTTGTCAGCAGAAATCCCGCAAGCCAGAAGAGACTGGGGCCCTATATTCATCATTCTTAAGGCAAAGAAATTCTAAACAAGAATTTCATATCCAGGGAAACTAAGCTTCATAAGCGAAGGAGAAATAAGATCCTTTTCAGATAATCAAATGCTAAAGGAATTTATTACCTCCAGACCTGCCTTACAAGAGAACCTGAAGAGTGCTAAATACAGAAAAGTGTGTCCATTACTGGCTACTACAAAAACATACTTAAGTACATAGACCAGTGACACTATAAAGCAACCACACAAACAAGTCTGCATAATAACTAGCTAATAACATGATGACAGGATCAAACCTGCATACATCAATACTGACCTTGAATGTAAATGGCTAAATGCCCCAATTAAAAGGTACAGAGTGCCAAGTTGGAAAAAGAAGCATGACCCTACGGTATGCCCCTCTCATATGCAATGGCAATGACCCATCTCACATGCAATGACACTACTAGACTCAAAGTAAAGGGATGGAGAAAAATCTACCATGCAAACAAAAAACAGAAAAAAAGCCAGGGTTGCTACACCAATTTCAGACAAAACAGACTTTAAACCAAAAGATTTCTGAAAGACAAACAAGGGCATTACATAATGGTAAAGGGCTCCATTCAAATTAAGACCTAACTATCTTAAATATATGCATATCAAATACAGGAGCACTCAGATTTATAAAGCAAGTTCTTAGATACCTACAAAGAGAATTAGATAGCCACACAATAAGAATAGAGACTTCAATACTCCACTGGCAGTATTAGACAGATCATCAAAGCAGAAAACTGACGATGATATTCAGGACCTGAACTCAACACTTGACCAGACCTAGTAGACATCTACAGAACTCTTCACTCTCAAACAACAGGATACACATTTTTCTCCTTGGCACATACTCTAAAATTGACCACACAATTTAGCACAAAACAATCCTCAGCAAGTTCAAAAAAACAACAACATAAAAACAAAAACAGAAATCATACCAACCACACTCTTTGATTGACCACAGTTCAATAACAATAGAAGTCTCCATTAAAAAATCATCTGAAACCATACAATTAAGTGGAAATTAAACAGCCTGCTCCTGAATGACTTTGAGGTAAATAATGAAATTAAGGTAGACATAAAGACATTCTTTGAAATGAACGAGAACAAAGATGCAACATATCAGAACCTCCCACACACAGCTAAAGCAATGTTAATAGGGAAGCTTATAGCACTGAACACCCACATCAAGAAGTTAGACAGATCTCAAGTTAACAATCTATCATCACACCTAGAGAAATTAGAGAAGTGAGAACAAACCAACTCCAAAGCTAGCAGATACAAGGAGTAACCAAAATCAGATCTGAACTGAAGGAAATTGAGATGTGAAAACCAAACAGAAGATCAACAAATCCATGAATATGTTATTTGAAAGAATAAATATGACTGATACAACACTGGCTAGACTACTACAGAAAACAGAGATAAGATCCAAATAAACTCAATTAGAAATGACAACGGGGACGTTACCACTGACACCATGGGGGAGAAAAAAAAAACCCTCGATGACTACTTTGAACACTGTGCATACAAGCTGAAAAATCTAGAAGAAATGGTGT